CAGCCTCTTCTCCGTGGTGCCCAGCAACAGGACAAGAGGCAATGGGCAGAAACTGAACCACAGGAAGTTCCACCTAAACCTGACAGAGCATTGGAACAGGTTGCCCAGAGAGGTGGTGGAGTCTCCTTGGCTGGAGATATTCAAAACCCGTCTGGATGTGATCCTGGGAAATATGCTCTAGAGGTCCCTGCTTGAGCAGGGAGGTTGGACTAGATGATCTCCAGAGGTCCCTTCCAACCTAAACGATTCTGTGATTCTGTGATTCTGTGAGCCAAGCATGCTCTGTTGGCTACTGGCCTGAGCAGTTTGCTGTGACTCCATCTGCATTTCTGATGCTCCCAGCTTTTGGAGCCGCAGTCACCCAAGCTTCTGATGGGCAATCTCCTGGAGCAATGCTCTGCCTCAAAGCATTGGCTGGGTTTGCCAGGACTGGAGTATTGTGCCATTGAGTCACTAGTGCATTTGAATCCAATGGAAGTGGACAGCCTGAGCCCATCAGCTCGTACCCTGTCTGGCTTTGATTTTTAGGAACAATGCTGTTTGCAGGAAGGGAGCTGGTACCTTCTCGCTGAAACAACTGTCCTGAGTTTGCCAGCTGACCTGTTAAAGAGGGCTTGCTGCAGGAGCCTGAGGTATCTGGGGTGGTTCCTCCCCTGAGCCCAGCTGGGTTAAACGGGACCTGCTGTTTGGGTTGAGCAGAGCTGCCCTCGGACATAATGGAGACAAGAGAGACCACAGTATCTTGGTCTTGTGCATCAGGTGCCTGACGCTGCAGTGGTGTTTGAAACCCCAGGGGTGCAGGAGCTGCTGAATTAATTGCCCAGAGAGCTGCAGGACTGCTTTCCTCACTGCAGTGCAGGAAGTCCGTGCTCTTCCCAGTGTCCTTCCTGAACAGCATCTGTTCCATGCAGGAGTTCACCCCACTGTCCAGCCTCTCACTAATGTTCTGAGATGTCGGCTCCTCTGCACCCAAGCCAAACAGAGTCTCCTCCCACTGCTGCAGCTCCATGTTGTCCACATCGAGGTTCTGGAGGGTCTGGCAGATGTTCCCATCCACCTCACTTTTCTCAAAGAGGGTTTCAATGATGACCAGGAGGGAGTCGCTGCCATCCTTGGCATCACTGGCTTTCTCGTCCTGGCCTGGCCCATCAAGTTCATTGATGAGACCTGCCAAGGGGAACTACGGCACGTTATCAGCTTGAGAGACGTACATAGATGCATCCTGCTTCTTCATGGCCTCAAGAAGAGAGCTGGGGTCTACTGAACACTCCTGCATGTGGGAGTCTTTATTTGTCTGCAACTCCTTAGTCTGGAAGGAATCCAGTAAATCAGGAAGGTCATTCCCATATAAAACTGCTTCCCCTGTAGCAAAACTAAAAGGCAGCTGCAGGTTCCGCTTCTGCAGATGTTCCTCCCCTTCTTCATTTCTTCAAGGCAGAGGAAAAAGAGAGAGAAACAGCCTGATTATTTTCTCTGGGCAAGGCAAAACCAGTCTCCAAACAGCAACATGGGAGCTCACAGATGTGGCTTTTCTAAAAAGATGGTGCTGGATCGGGCCGCTTATGTTACTACTGGTGGAGGATCGGGGCTGTGGAGAGCACACAGGGAGGTCTTTGTATTGTTTGGGGAGGGGCTGCATGCACAAAGCTTACCCTAGGAAGAAACAAGTATGTCTGTAATAACCTTCCTATAGCTGTTTTACTGACAGAATTTTTAATCCTGGGCTCCAGCAGACCCATGTTCCTCCTCCTACAGGAGGGTGTGCACAGGAAGATGCTAGCCACGCAGCCCAGCCTCACTTTCCTCCAACTGCAATGCCTCCTTGTGCCATGAACAATTCTATCATCATCCATACCTCTGGCATCCAAGGTGCAAGGAGGAGGTGAAAACAGTCCCAAATCCAGCGATACTCACGAGAGGGCTCGCTGTCTGGCTATGATGCAGTCAGGATGGCCTCCTTTGTACACCAGCCTGGCCTTGGCCTGGATCCAGACCCAGCCAGCCTTCTTGGTCAGTAGCCTGAAAACTATCACGCTGCTCTCCCCTGTCTTCATCACTGGGGCAGAGAGAAAACACAGTTGGCACAGACACGATTAGTCTGTAACTCCATGGGTGTAGACAAATTGCATGTGCAAGAGGTCATGATCTGGAGGATCACCTCACACCCATGCTATGGAGGCAGGACAAAACATGTGATGCTGTATTTCATGGCCATGCTGTGTCTTTCTGCACAGAAAGGCACTCTGCAGTAATAACTTCATGTGCAGGCACCACCCAGAACAGGAAATCCTTTATCATGGTCACTTCCGATCCTAGACAAGATTGCCCATCCAAGAAGCAACAGTAACAGCATAGTGAGAGCTTCACTGGTACTGTGGTGCCATGATGGCGCCAAGTCCCCCATGACTTATGCCCCCATGAATGTGCACACTGCAGCTATGATGCCCCTACGCTGGGTCAGGGGCCCACTGCTCCCCTCCACACTCACGTCTCACGTGGTTCTCTGCACAGTACATCACGTCAGCTGCATGCACGAGCTGGTATCCAGATCCCTTCATACACAGCTCTGTTTCTGTCTATCCCAGCACAACCTTTGCCCTGAAAACAGAGTACAAAGTACATCCTCTTCCCAATATCTGACAGTTAGCAGCTGTCAGAGATTCTAATTTTGGGTGGCACGGCTGCTCTAGCCAGGGTAAACTGTATCCCATTTTACAGGAAACCCAGGCTGGGTTTGCTGGGCTAAAACATGGGAGTGAAGAAGTCCTGGGACCCAGTTAATCTGCTTTTTTTGGTACTGAGGAGGGCCAAGAAATCTGGGCTGTAGAAATGCCTGGCAGTGGACCAGGCAGATTTCCAAAGGGATCAAACACCTCCTGGGTTTTCCATGGGAGCTTGGTCAGAAGTGCCCTGCTCCTAAAGGTTTTCCAGCATCTGTGGATTTTGCTACAGCAGAAGGAGACACCATACCTGGAATCACAGGCAGTCAGAGTGAAGTCTAGCTTGTGCTTTGTCTGGAAGATGAAGGTCTTGGTCTGAAGCTCCAGGATCGAAAGTGGCTGGAGGGAAGTTGCAATGGCAAAGAGAGTCAGGTGGGGAAGCACCAGGGACCTACTGGATGTCCTGTTCTGCTGCCCATGAAGCAATTTCAAGTGTCCGCAGAAATTCAAGGCCTTAGAAGGGGTTAGAAAATGAGGATATGAGGCAAAGAGGGTGAGGAAATGGGAATTAGCCATGCCAGACTGCCCTAACTCACATCAGCATGAGACATGAGTGGCCTGTAGTGAACGTACATGCACAGTGTATGTGAAGGGGTCTGTCCTGACAGTGCTGTGTGCAGGGGTGCTATCAACCCTGTTACAAGTGGGAGATGTCTCTAGAATGCATTCAGAGGGGCCTGATCCAAAGGGTTTGCACTGGACTGGGCTGTACAGCTCAGAAACACAGCTGGCTGTGTCAGGGTTGGCAATCTGAATCTATAATGGCATCATCAGCCCTTTGGAGATGCTAGTCTCCACTGCAATTTTTCATCCCCGGGGTGCTTCCCAATTCAGTGGCCCCTCAGTCTGGATGTGCCTAAATCCTGCAGGGACCTTTCTTCGTGATCTGATCACCCCTTATGCACACAGATGTGTGCACATAGCCTGTGGGTACTGGCTCTGAAACCTCTGGAAAGTGACACTCCGGGCTTTGAAAAAGCCAGGCCTGAGAGGGATGCTCAGTGCCCTGGAACCTTGCTGGGTCCTGCCACAGAAGTGTGAGCAGAGGAATATGGCTTTCGGCTGAGATGTGCCAGGTTTGCTCCATCGTCAAGCAAGAACCCATCCCTCCCTGGAAAGCCATCTGGTGGTGATGCTGAGGGAAGAGGGGTATGCTGGCAAAGGACCGGGTTACCAGAAATCCCGAGGACTTATCCAGCAAGCAGCGGAAACAACAGATGAAACTCCTCTCCAAGAAGGAGGTGTTCTCAGGGGGGAGGTGCTGGGGGCTATACATGGCACTGTATCCGTCTGGCCGAGTCTGGCCCATAGGCATGGCTGTGAAACCAAAGGGAAGTGAAAGAGTCCAGATCGAGAGAGAGTACGTTCACATAGATCACAGACACTGCTCTCCACGTAGCCTAAGGCAGGCTAGGCTCTCAGAGCAAGAGTTGAGATTAAGTAGGGTGGAGGATGCTTGGGGTCTGCCACAGAGCTTGTCAGCGTTTCAGCCCAGGACAGAGTTTGATGGGGTTTCCCTTAAAGTAGCCACTCAAAATAAAGCTGTGCCCTTTCCAAGCTGCACACCTGTAACTCATGAGTGTATATTTGCATGGAAACTTCCCCTTGAAGACCCCCATCCGCTGAGACCATCCTACACTGCCAAACTCTCCAGTGCTGTTACTTCATACCAGATGGGGACTATAATCATGAGAAACAGGAGAAGAGGAAAAAGTATGGCCTCCTTCTCATGGCTCTCACTTGGCCTTGCAGATTTGCTCCTGATTAAGAGTTTGCTGCTCAAGTGAACGCATGATCTTCAAAAAATGAATATAATGTTGCCATGGGAAATCAGCAGCTCATAATGGTTTCTGATCACTTTTCTTTCCTTCATTATTAATAAACATACAGGATAAAAGTTAGTCCTAGAGTGAATACAGAAGAGTTATGAAGAAAGCTCAGCTTGCATCCCAGGCAGAAGCAAGGCAATAAACTGCCTGCACTGAAATAAATAGTATTTCAAATGCTGAAATGCAGAAAGGCTTGTGAGAACTGTCCCCATTCATCCAGCACAATGAAAGAAAACATATCATTGCTATTGTTTGCTCCTTTTGGCGATGGGAGGGAGGGGATGGCTATGCCAACACTCAGGACTGATGCCCCAGTGCTTGGCTGCCACGGGGAATGAAAGTACCAAGGGGAAGCCATGTGATGCTGCAGGGCAGTGGGAAACCACCAAGCTTTTAGACATCAGCCCACAAACATTCCCAAGCTGGGGACTCCCACAGATTGCAGGCACTAATGTGGCTTTCAGACTTCTGCCTGAGGGCCTGTCCACAAAGTGGGGCTTAGCTGCACGAAATGGCTTTGAAGGCCATGAGCGCACACACACACACACAGGCCCCAGTGATGCACAGCATTCCTGTGAAAGCTCTTTGCTGCTTCTACTGCAATCTGCAAAGCAAAAGGAGCAGGATATGTATGTCCACCCATGAATAATGTCTGCTTTTTGCAATACTGCACTGAAAGCAGCTACACACAGACTTTGTGGTCTGGCATCTCACACAAGCACAGGGGTATGCTTGGCTGTTACAAATGCTGCTAGGAGGGTTTTCCAGGATGGGACACCTACACTGAGCTGACAGGTGGCTGGTCTCTGGCAAGCACCTTTGTGGACTCATTCTGGGGCACAGGCAAGGCCAAGACAGGCCTGGATGTTCCTGTCCCCAGTACTCACCATCGGCAGTGTACTTGGCCCAGCTGGTTGCAGGAGGGTTCAAGACCCAGTGGAGCTGGTGGCAGAAGGTGGCTCTGTCGTCTGTGTGGATCAGGTCATACACACTCTGGTAGATGAGGTCTGACTGGAATGAAAAAATGGGAGAGCAGAGCTTGGGACAGCAGGTAGTGCCCGGCTGGAAAATGGCAGAGGCCACAAGAAAGTCAGAAGAAGTTTAGAAAATGCAGGCTTTGGAGAAACAACTGAAGGAACTGAGCCCAGAGGGAGGATCTCTGTCTCTGGGGGTTTGCAAGTCATGGTTAGGCAAAGCCAGAGATAAGCTGATTAGCTGTTGGAGACAGTCGTGCTTTGAGGTGCAGGTTGGACGGAGCTCTCCAAAGACCCCTTCCAGGTAGCACTTAAATATCCATGCAGTATAGCAAAGACATGATGGAGGAGGAAGTGGTAAGAGTCTTTCCTTCATTTATACTAAAAGTGCAGTGATTAAGAGTAAAGAAACAAAAAATTCAACTTTGTATGCAGTGTGGAGAGCAAGGGCAGGTACTGGGAATTGGCTGCTTTTGGGGAGGGTGGCTCAGAGGTGAGGAAAAGGGAACATAGAATGGAACTGTCTGGGACACCATGGAAACATCTTCAGAGGAAGTTTCTAGAAGCAGTAGAAACAGCCATGTCTGCGTAACCCTGGCCCCCAAACCTTAGCAAATTGCTGCTCTGAACTATCATACTGCCCAGTCCCCTGATGCCCTCCAGCCACTGTCAAGGAGCACTTCTAGGGTAGCTGATTTCTCAAAGAAGTGAGGATAAAATTCTCCTAATGTCACCAAGCCCTTCTTCCAAGGATGTTTCATAGTGGATCTGACTTGTGATTATTAATCAGTCCATCAGAAATGCTGAAACTTCAGTTCCTTTTCCTGCCATTGGAGCCCTTGTTCTTCAGGAAGATCTACTTTCACTCTGAGGGCGGAATACCGTAGCTGGACCATTCACTTGGATATCTTGAGGTCTAGACACTGTCATATCTTCTCAGGACCAAATTTGGACAAAGTGTCAAAAAGGCTATGGATTATGCCAGAGGGAAGTAAGTTTGTGCGGTAAGAATTTCTGGCAGTGTGCAATGGCAATGGCATACCAGCTCTCTCTTGAACTATTATTCCTACTCATCTGCAACTAAGGGTTTATTTTGTTCCTTCTACAGATCAATGTTAAAAATCATTTCAGATTTATCAAAATATTTTGGCCAAACCAAATCAATTTTTTTTTTTTATTTCAGACTCAAGTGCTTTTTTCTGTTGTTTGGAAAAAGGCTTTAATAGTTTTTTTCACGCTGGTCTTCTAAGGCAACAAGACTTCTGTCTTCTGTGCTTTTCAACACAGTAATTAAAGAAAGATGTGGAAAAGAGTGTGAATCACTCGGTGAGGCCGACTGTGGGCCATGCTGAGTTATTCAAGGCTGAGAACTGCAGAAGGACTTTACAAGACATCAGGTGCCTAGAAGAAGAGGTAGCAGAGGAAATTCTGGGTAAAGTGAAGCACACAAACAGCCCTAGCAACATGTAAACTGGTAGAATCGGACCTGATGTTTTCCATTAGAGGAAGTGAGATCAGAGGAAGCTCCATGAAAATGCCAGCAGAGTGCCAAGAGAGGTTAAAGAAAAAAAAATATTGAGAACTATTAGAAAAGGAATAAAAAGCAACAGTTCCCTTTATGTCACCCTTTAGATCGTGCTGCACCTGGCCCTTGAACGCTTTGTGCAGTTGTAACCCTTCTTATGAAGGAATGATGGGAACAGGAAAGGTTCACCAAAAGGCAGGAAGGCTGACCAATGGACTGGAACAGGTCTGTGCGAGGACAGACAGAGTATGCTGGGACTCATCAGCCTGGAGAAGAAATAACCAGTCAGGAGATGGTGAGAGAAGAGATGGAGAAATGGAGAGGATGGACATACGTTAGCCAGTTCACCATGTCTTCACGTGTATTGGCAGCAAATAAAACCAGCAGGAGGCAAGTCTGGACGAATAGAAGTCTAACTAACTCCTTCATGTAGGAGGTTGTTACCTATCCTTCCCCATCTCAAGGCCTGGATTTGGGCTTCAAAAAAGATGCAGGCCCAGTGGAGAGAGTCCAGCACAGGATGACCGAAGTTCTAGAAGCCACAGCACGCAGGGAGACAGTCTGGGTCTCCAGGGCAAGAGAGGGCTGATAGCAGGTGGCACATGAACTGTCTTTGCATGAGTAAAGTCCTGTCAGAAAGAGCAAGGCCATATACAACCTCCAGGTTGGCTGTAGCAAAGACACACTAGACATAAGCTTAAAACGCAGAAAGGAAAATTTGGACTGGGCAGCAGGAAAAGCTCTCTGGCAATAAGGGTGGCAAAGAGAAGAGATCCTTCAGTTATGAGCAGACTCTCCATTCCTAGAAAAAATCCACAGATGAACCTCCATTAGGAATGACAGGGATCAAGTGGGCCTTGCCTTGGGATGGGGAAAAAACCCATGTACTTTTCATCCTACTCTGTATGCAAAAGAAAATCTTGTAATGATGCTGTGGTTTTCCACTGGATATGGCACCAGAAGGAGGTTTAGTTTAGGGAACAACAGAAAAAAGGTTATGTCTGGAAGATACTTTCATAAATAGAGCGCTGCAAGAAGAAAAACACATCTAGAAGCATCCATGCAGATAAAATATGGAGTGATCCCACCAAAAAACATCCTTGAGACGTTACAGGAGCACTAAAACGTTATGTAAAGAAGCACTGAGAGGCTACATTGCCTTGCACAAACTGTAACCTCACGTTGTTGACAACTCCCCTTATTGCTCTGCAGTAATCACTACCCAGCAGGCCTGAAAAACTGCCTGAGGTGATACTCATGTCAGAACGTGCCACAGGCACAGATGGTGTCACAGAAAAACTTAAGTCAGCGCACATGGCTGTGTGATTTGATGTCCTAGGTGCTAGTACAACTAATGGATATTTGATGGAAGTTTGTTGGGAGAAAGTTTGAAAAGTGAGAATGTACTACCAGCTGCAGCCCTAACCACAAGAGAAAGTGTCACCATGAGAACAGCATGGAAATTTCTGTGATGCTTTATAGCACTCTCTATGAACACAGATTTCACAAAGGGATTTAATAAGACTGACGAACCAGAGCACACTGTGATGTAATGGGTTTAGGAGCTGCTGCTGGAATTGTTCCTGATCAGGCCATGTAGGAGGTAGGATGCAAGTCACTGTAAAAGAGATATCCTAAAACACCAAGAAAACCAAGAAAAATCCCCCTAGACGGTATCTACCAGTCTCACATGCACCTCAGTTGCAACATGGAGGCTGTTGGGTTTTGCTGCTTCTCTTTTCCATATCATGTTACAATTGTGGGTTGACTTGTTAACCAAAATTTACAATAACCTATTACCTAGGGCTGGTAAAACAGCCAGTTGCAGCTCATGATAATCTGTCTCCTGTAGGATGTTGTCTAGAGGTCAGGCACCTTCAGATGACTGCATGTTAAATCTCAACAGATCAATGAGTCTGAGCCAAGGCCAGGCTGGGGTGTGTCCTGGAAGTGCCTTCCCTTCCCATACTCGCGACATCTCTCTCAAATACTGTACCACGCAGTCCTGGCCCCACGGAGCATAACAAGGTGCACAAACCTCCACCCCCTGCCTTGAATGGGGATTGCTATTAGACTCAACGCCTGTGGGAAATGGCATCCCAGTGCAAAATGTCTTCCTTCTGCGTGCTACCAGTACAGCCAGACATGCTGATGCTGGTCTGTAAGGTTGGCCACACTGCAGAAACACCAGAAAAAACTTCACACCTCCTGTCTCCCAAAGCAGACCCCTTCTTCTTGGGATGGTGCCTTGGACCAACCTTTGCCACCCTGGTCCCACACACTCTATGCTGTGCCACCGAGTCTCCTTCGCTGGAGATATTCAAAACCCACCCGGACGCGATCCTGTGCAATGCGCTCTGGATGACGCTGCTTGAGCAGGTGGCTGGACTAGAGGATCTCCAGAGGTCCCTTCCAACCTTGGCCATTCTGTGACTCTGTGATTCTGCGATTCTGTCATGGTAAGTGTGGCACTGCTGAACCCATGATCTGCTTGAGTCATAAACTACCATGTCCGTGCACTGGGAGAAGGGCCATAGCAAAGCAACCTGCTTTATTACACATACAACTACTTTGAGAAAACCATTCCCTGCTTCTAACAGCTGTTTCATCTTAGGGCATCTGGTGCCTGTGAGGATTCGCCTACGGTAAGGTGAGAAAGCAGGCAAAGAGAAGGCAAAGAGATAGGAAAACACGGTGGTGTCTGCAAGCTGCATCAGAACCAATGCTGCTCTCTCCATGGCTTTGGCCACAACAAAATTAATTTGGCAGTTTCATGGCACTCCTGTTGACTTGGTCCTTTGACCCCATGGGCTGAACTCTGGAGGAAAATGAGGTAATGGGACAGATGGAGTCACTGGCAAGACAGTGGGGAGAGCCCCACTTCTCCTCGGCATCCCATGTAATCTGCAGTACTTCAGGGCACCGACATGATTCACTAGTGTGTGCTCTTCCTCCCTCGCCCCGCCCCGCCCCGCTGTAAGTGAAAGTATATGCGCCTAGCAGCACAGTTTAAACTATATCACGAAAAAGCTCACACCCCTCTTACACACAAAGACAAGAGGATACAGAGCCTGCCATTGCTTAGTGTGCATCTGTTACTAATAAAATCATGAGTGTGTTTCTTGACTTTAATTACCCCCAAAGAACAAGAATCATTTGAAAATGTACATCAAGAATGACCAAAGGGAGTTGGAAGGGAAGTGAAGAGCCCTGATGCTGACTATTAGCACCTCCTGCCCAGGCTTGGATTGCCCCCATTTATTTACACCCAGAAAAAAAATGGTACCCACCTGATGAAACCCCAGGAAGTCCTGCACTGTAGGGGAGACATAGAAGATGTAGCCATCTCCAGTCACAGTGATGACAAAGCCATTAAATGCCTGAAAAGGAAAATTCAGCCCAGAGTTACTCTTGCTAGCTTTAATCCAGCTGCACAAGAAGACCTTTTCTAGGAGTTTCTCAGGTGTCCATGGGACAGGAAGGGATCTTCTTCATCAGTAGGAAACCCACAACAAAGGAAAGCAGCTTGAGACTACATCAGGCTTTGAACCCCAGATAGCTGGAGAGTGAGGGGGGATGGATTTCTCACTGTTAACACAAGTAGTGATCACAATCAATTTTTCTAGAGCCATCGTCCAAGCCTTCTCACCAGAGGGCAGCTCCAGCATCAGAAGGGATCAGCTAAGGACAGGTTTCTGGAGTGCCTGGAATAAGTTACCTTCTCTGTATCTATACTAGCAAAACCCAGATCTGTTCTGCTGGTAGATCTGATTTTCTTTAAGGAACCAGCAATGAAACCTTCCAGAGAAGCACAGGAAGACTTGACAAACGCAGACTGGAGGGAGAAAGGACTGCAAGGAAAGAGCCCTGAGCCATGCAAGAGCCCAGTGGCTCCAGGAGTCTAGCACTGGTTCAGGCATAGTGAAGCTTTTAGAGATGGTAAATAAACTGCAGTCAACCACTGCTTTGACATATTTACCCACTTTTCATTTTAAGGATGACCTCCAAAGGCACCCTGGGGCCTGCTCTTCACCTCAATTTTCCAAAACAGAGAGTTATACAACCTTACTTCTGCATTGCTTATGTAGGTCTTCTCCCCACAATTTCTCTGAGCACCCCTGAAAACCTGCCTTTTAATTCTTAGCACCTCAGGACTATAAGCACATCACTACCCCATGGACTCCTGCTCTCAGCTCCAAAGGTGCATGAACACCCGCACAGCTCATGCAGGCTGGGGAGCAGCCAGAACAGAAGTGGTTGAGTGTGCATCTGTGCGCTTGCATGTGTCAAAACCATGTGAAAACACGCTTCCTCTTTGTATAGGTCCCTGCATTTTGCAAGTAGTGGGATTATAACTCATTGTAGACACAGCTCCAAGGGGATACATTGCATGCATAAGAGCCCCTTCCCATGACTTCCACCTCCACTTGCCTGGCTGTCCTCTTCTTTTTGTCCCAGAACTGGACGAACTTGTCAACTGCAATTGGCTTGCCAGGATGCAAAGTAAGACCGCATTCAGCCACTGCTACCTTTGAAAGATGGGAATGTAGCTAAGAACAACGCCCATTTTGGAAGTAAAGAGTTGGAAAAATCTGGAAACTCAGATGTGGAATTTGTGAGGCCCTGAACTCATCTGTGACACCTGAAGTGGCTTCCTTTCTCTCCTCATAAACGCACAGACTGTTTGATACATCTTCAAGGAGGTAAGAGCATCCAGATCTCATCCGTCTCCGATTACATGGGACCATAGTCGTTTCCCATCTTATTTTATTCTTGCTCCTCGCAGATGTCCAAGTGGCTCCATGTTTGTAAAGGCCCTCAAACATTTTTTTGTAGTTGCTGCTATCAGACACCAAGCTGGGAAAACTACTCCATGTCATGGATGATAGAGAATAAAGCTTTAAACACAAAAACATTACCTCTACAAAAAATCATCCTAGTGGTCACGCTATCTGCCAACTTCACTTCTCATAGTGCACTTTCCAATCAATATACACAGCCTGCAGTTAAATATATACCCAACTGGTGGCTTCTTGCTGGAAAAAAAGTCTCTCCACTAACACACTGAGTTATTAGAAAGTGATAAATGCACTTTTGTGACTATTCATATTGTGTTCCTGGCCACTGGCAGAATGAATTGTAAAACCACTTACATTTGCTAAATAGCTATGGAAAATGCCAAGTCTCACAGGCATTTTTTCCGAACCCTGCAGTCCTAATGTGCATGCAATCCTTGAGAAGTTAGCAGGCTCCTTGTGTCTCTGGGCAACCCTCTCTGGTCCCATTTTTGCAAAAGGAAGGTACAATCTGGTCAAAAAATAAAGTAATATAAAATATAGTATAGTCTTCCCTATAAACAATGTGTTTTTAGCTCCTCTAGTTCAGTACATAAACCTTCACACTTTGCAAGGGTGCCAAGACAAATCAACCCTCTTGAGTCAAACTGATTCCGTGTTGGCTTCCAATTTTGCAGCTCATATTACTGGGTGCTCAGAAACTGCCTTCACTTGTCCTATGAGTCGTTCTCAGTGCAGCAATACTCCTGTAGCCATGAACAAACATTTCAGGGGCTTGTGGAAACATTTTAGGGGACTAAGTTTTTATTTTAAACTTTTTCATCCAGGCCACAAGCCACTTTGTGTCCTTCTGAGCCACTCTAGCAAATGCTGGTGCTGTCAGGTCTTGTCCTGTTTTGCAACAGGCCATCTCAGGTGCCATCCCCTGTGGATAATTTTCAACGGGTCCGTTTTCTTGTAGCAACAGAACAAATATCTTAATTTCTTTCTTCCAAGCACTTCTTCCAAGAAGTGTTATTTTATCCTGTGATCCAATTCCTTAGTCAAACCATAACGGCTCTCCTTGCTGCAGGTCACAGGTTTGTACAGGGAAGATGGAAAGCCTTTGGTCTGAGAGACCTGAAATGTATTTAAACTGTACAAATCAATCACCAGCAATAAGCAGGATGGCAAATTCAAACTGCAGTGCATTCAGAGCAACTTTAAACTACTGCCATAGCAGTAGCAGAGCTGGCCAAAGGTTGGCAAACCAGAAGCTAGCATGGAAGGGTGACTCCTGATCCTTCCTCCATCCTGCAGACACACTTTTCTAGGCATGCTGAGATGCATGCGGTGCCCAAGAGCAAGAGAACCAATGGGTCACTGAAATAAAAGCAGAAAGTCAAAAGGAAATTTTTAAAAAGAGCGGAAGAGGCTAGAGTATGAAAGCAATCCAGCAGTAGTAAACTGTCAACTTCAGTGTAATAAATGGGAAAATAGACTGCATTACAGGGGCCATTCAGAAGAGTAGTGGCTCATACATCACTCATATGGGATGCCCATGAGAGCCTGTGCATCTGCATTGTGCTGCAGCTGGACTCTGCCCTCATTGGCTGCCTTGGCCATGCTTAGCTTCTCCTGCTGCTGAAGAGGGATCATGGGGACTTGCTGTTTGCTTGAGACAAGGTAGGGGAAAAGGGTCTGCAATAGGTTCAGCTACCCAGCTGCACACGCTACTCATGATGCGGGCTGGCAGAAAGCCTTCATCTTTGTTCACCCTCTTCCCCTGCACAAACAGGAGGCAAAAGCAACTGGCTGAAATACCCCTTATATTTGCCTATTAACAGGTACACTTTGGGGTTTTTTTTTGGGGGGGTGGGTTTTTTTAAAGTAATTTAGATTATTTGAAAGGTTTCTGATTTGAACATATGGATTAATTCTGTACAGAACCAGCTCACAGCAGAACCAGTCCCTTCCCGTTGTGCTCTGCAGCCCCTCAAGGGGTACTGCATTAGTTTTCTGCAAATTACAGTGCCTAATTAAAATGCTCTTTGGGGCAGAACAGGCAGCTCAGCTTCAGGATTTCTGTCACATTAGCACTCCGCATGTTTTCCAGATGCCTTCAATCACCTAAGACTGCTGATGCTCTGGTGGCTCTACAAATTGACATCATATAGCCTGGTTCAAAGCCCCAGAGAGAGCTTGGGCTTAGCTCTGCAATTAGACTGAGGCAATCACTAGCTCTCTTTGGTCCTTTGCTATAACCAGCTGGCTCCCTGCAAACCTCCAAGCCTGCTCTCACCCCAGACTGACTGTTGCAGCAGGAACCCAGGACACACCAGACTTGCTGTAAGATACTCCTGCATGCCCCGCCCCCCCCAGTTGGGATACATGAGTTTGTGTACGTTGGGTCAATGAGTCCCAAGGAAATATGTCTGGTCTGGGCACAGCAACAGCCAACACTTGCAAACTGCAGGCACAGATAGCACCTGGCCTTCGCAAAAAGGCCATAATCCATCGCCCCACGTCCTAGGATTGGGAGCAAGAGATCCCTAAACACCTTTAGGGTGAATCCATTGCTATAGGCCTCAGAGATGGCACCTAAGCTTGCATTTAACTTGCTTTATGTGCTTTCCTCACCCTGAAGCTGGTACTGCTGAGCATGTAGCTGCCTCCAGGACGGGGAACTTGGGGTGCAGCCTCCTGTGGGTCATGAGGTGAACAGACTCACTGAAATGAGCTGTGTTAAAACAACCCCCTCTCACAATTCTGTTCATGGATGCAGTTTATGGCATGGCCCGTATAGCCCATAGCCACAACATAATCAAAGTAGTAGCCAACTGTGGTGCAGGGTGAGAAGGAGCCCTTCCAGACAGGGACCTGCCCCAACCAAGCACTGTCACTGGTCCCTGTCCTGAGGTGCTCAGCACCTGGTCAGGGGGTGCAGAAAAGGGCAGCAGTTCCCAGTGAGGCAGTCTTCTCTCATTCTGCAAATGGGACCACACGTTCCATAGCACCTGGTGCTGGTCCAGCAGCAACACCGGGGGACCTGGAGTTGTGCCCAGCAGATGGCAGGAACTCAGGAAAGGCACCAGACAATTGAGCTATGGCACAATACCTGGAGCAGAAGGTCCCCTTCTGGAAACGATGCCCTGTTGGCTTGCAGATATGTCCATCCATTCCCTTCTAGTGCCTTGGGCTGATCCAGCATGTGGCTGCCAATGTCCGTCCCAGTGGCTGTGAGCAAGAGGGCAAGAAATCAGTGTGGAAGGGGCAAACTGGGAGGCTCTCTCTCCTCCTCTTCTCAGCGTTGCTCTTGGACGGCTGCACCATGCTACTCAGTGCTTATGCTTCTGGCTCAGAAAGAAGATGAAACCTGGGGGAGCTGGAACACAGACCCGCAGCACATAACCCCTTTATAAAGCCATCCCCACTTGATCAACACTGCCTCTAAGATATAATCTCTCCCACTTGGTCTCATTTCTGAGAAGCCTCTCCTCTGTCAGCATCCAAGGCAGAAACATACAGGGGTCGGGGGGGAGGCTAGTATTTCTGGGTCTTCCAGACTAGGAAACATCATCCAACACAGCAAGAGACCTTCAGGCTGAGGCTTGCTGAGAGTTGGCATTCACTGCCACAGGCCAAGTGCTGCTCCATGGCTGGCTTCAAACTGCCACAGTACTGCAAGGTTTGCAGTCAGGAAAAGCCTTCCTGTCCTTTTGGGCTAACAAAAGAGAGGGTCAAACTTTCCTCCATCTGAGGTGCCATCAAAGCATCCAAGTGACATGTTTTTCTGCCACTGTTTCTCCCTCTCCCATTTGATGACTTAAAAGCCATTCAGAGTGTCAGTGGCCTCAGCTTTCTCCATTCAGCCTTCTGAGCAGCTCTCTAGCTACCAGGACTCATAGCCTTGTGGCTCCCTGGGCTGACTCATTTACCACCTGTCACCCTACCTCACTGTGTGCCTTCTGGGCAACATCCCTGGGTGCAGTTGATATGAAACCTCCTGCTTTCATCCCAGGGACCTCGTGCACAGGAGGATATGTAGAAAATGGGTTGTTCAGGGAATAGGAACGAAGCCTGTAGCGGCCCCTGAGGCTGCTTGGGGGCATCCTCAAGTGAGATACTTCCTCTCCTGGGGAACTACTTTTGAAAAACTATTTGGCAGCATAAGCCCAAACTCAGCTTCCAACCTAAGGACAATTTTGAGGGAAGGTTTTGTGTTAGCTTGATCAAAAACCCACTGCCACGGAGAACAATATGTGTTCATCTGCACTGCAAGAAAGCCTTGAAGAAGCCCCAATGTTTCTTTTGCTTTGCGTGTCAGCAGACCTAGGCCCAAAGGATAGCCCAGGGATCAGCCCTGCACCCTGGCACCTGCCATGCAGGCCAGCTGTCCCAAGGGGATTACATGCTCACTCGTGTATGGGGTTTCACTCCAAGTAGGGATGCTGGCACAGTGGAGCTTAACTCTTGCAGAGAAGGGCCAGGCTGAGTCACACTGCCTGTGTTCAGTGATGGAAAAGTGAAAGGAAAAGCAGAGTTTGAACACTGAGTATAAATCCAAGCCTGCAGAAAGATAGATTTAGGGATCATAACATTGTCAGGCCAGAGCATAGTCTCTCAAAGCACCACCATTCCAGTTGCATGACACTACAAAACCCACCTCCAGTTCAGTGATCTTGCACCTATCATTCCCTGTTTGCTTTGTCCAGCATAACAAGCAATCTTACAGAAGTTACCGTGTAAACTTTTGCACAAAATCTACAAATCAGAACCAAATCCTACATGTAAAACTGAGCTGGGCATGTTCCTTCAAATGAAAGCCATCATCAGTCCTGGATACAAACTGGTGGAAACATCGGGAAATGGTGATTTTTTTTCCCCATGAACTGTGGTCAACCTCGGAAACAGCACAAGACCAGTCTTCTCCTACAGAAAAGCTGCTGGGCTTGGCAGAAAATATTAACTATCCCCTGTGAGCATTGAGTTCATCCTGTAGCAGTTAATACCATTTTTATCCAGGTTAGAAGAGGTTTTATAAAACATTTCTAAAACAGATCCTTCTCCATCAATTGCTGTTTATTTATGGCGTTTTGCATGACAGATGATTTATATCAAATTGGAATATTTAAGACTTGTATCAGTGTTGCAGGAATCATGCCTTTTTATGAATTTTCTGGTAACTGTACTTCTGCCTGCATGACTCAGAGAGATGATTCTAGGAAAGCTTGAAGTTCCTAGAAAGTTAACAACAAAACTTCCATCTACGGATGGATCTACAAAGACCTCTGAATCTGTTCAAGGAAGCATAAATGTTAGGGTTTTTTTGTACTTCAGGTGGTGAGGCAGCATGTTTTACTGGTTCAAGAGACCAAAATGGGATAAAATGGACCAAGGGTTGCCATTAGACATGCTCAGTTCATGAACTACAGTGGGACAGAGACTAGAGTCACTTTTACACCACATACTACAGCTGCCAGAGACTGCAAACTCAAAGCCACTGGTGTCCTTGGGTTGGACACACAAACCTGGCACCGCCAAAGGGAGTTTCTGGACACAAATACACAAACTGGATCCCAGAGACAGGGACTCTGCTTTAAAAAGGCTGGTCAGTTCAACAAAAGCCAAATGGTAATAAAAATTCCCTGGTAAATTAAGCAGGTAATGCAAGTTCTGCAAGCCAGTTCAGCCTTGTACCACTGGAGAGTGAGGTATGTGGATACCTCCATCACCACCCCCAAAAAGAAATCAGCTAAAGGCCTATCACCTCTGCAGGGTCTCCTTGAGAAAGTTTCCAAAACAGTACAAGCTATTTTAGGGGTGGCTGGATGAAATACAGTCAATATGTACATGCTGCAGAGGACCAAGGAATTGCTCAAAAGCAGCAGCATCAATCTCTCTCCAAACATTTGAACCGAAGCTAAAAAAGGTAAAAACAACAACAAAAACCCAAACCCAGTTTGCTTTCACTCCATTCCCAGGAGCTCTGCCATGCTTAAGGGCTGGGATCCTGGACACTGCAAGACTGCATTTTCAATAGACATCTGTTTACTGCGGTCTTGAATGACGAAAGAGCAGGCTGTATACAAGACTAGACAAAAATGGGGAGGGAAAGATAGCAGAGAAAGACATCTAATTTCTCTCTTCTAGTCATACCTGCTTTCAGAAGCAATAGGTGTATCTGCTGCCACAAAGATTTGACTATTTACTCCAAAGACAGGAAGCCAAGAGGAGTCTCAGCCTTGGGTGACCTTTTTGTACAAACTATTTTTCTTGCAAGAACCACCTCAAACAGTACATGGGATTTTATTTTTAACCTATGACACAGCCTGTGCAGGCAATGTCCAGGGTCATCCATAGACATCTGACTCCCTGTTGAATTGGTTATAACCCTGTACTTTGGCTCTGTGTAGGGTATTAACCCTTTTGCCTGGGAGAAAGGGAAATTGCCTTCACTCTCTAAAAATGCTTAGAAAGAAGAGCTCTTTTTCAATATGGTACCAATTAAAGTTGCCTGGAGACAAAGCAATGAGCTTGGGTTGCTGAAGGAAAGGGAGGCTGAGGCACAAGCGACGGGGGAGCTTGCCAGAGGAAGCTACACTCTCCATCTGCTGCTAGTGGAAAGGAGATAGTAGCAAAACTGAACTCAAAATAATGACACAAAGGCTTTTGCAATCTCTGTGAAGTGCCTGATGTGATATACTATAAGCAGGGTGCTGCAGTTTGCCGATGACACAACATTTCACCAGGCAGCGCCAGAATCCAGTTCGACCTTGATAAATTGGTAGAATGATCTGAAGTCAAACAAAATAAATTTCAGGGCAGACATGGACAAAGTGACGAAGGGAAGAAAATCAAAAGCACAGTGCCCAAATGGGTGTAACTGGCCTATTAGAACGGGTCTTCAAGACAAGGATGGGTCTCCAACTGAATGCAAATCCATGCAGCAGTGATTTCTTTTCCAAAGCAAGTATCATGCTTGGAAGGTGCGTGCTGAACATGTCAGTGGAATGCTCTTGCTCAGAGGTGAAGAGGCCCCAGCTGGAGTGCAGTGCTCAGCACTGGGGTCTCCTTTTGGGGAAGAGACATCCACTGGCTGGACAGGGCACCTGGAGAGCCTGGAGGGACAGGTCTACAAACCTGCCATGGGGTAAAATCCAAAGGAAATGAGTTTATTTAATCTGGAGGAGAGAAAACATGATAAGAGCCTTCAAGTACACAGGGATGCTGTCAGCTTTCTGCCCACCCCATGCTCTGCCTGCATCTCCCCACAAGCAGCTTAACCAGGGTCCAATGGCCCGCTCTGTTGAGCACAAGACTCTGGAGACCACAAAACATTTCTGTCCTTGCCCCATATTTCCTGACCTGCATCCCATGCCATGCACACACAACAGGCTACCCCTCTCCTAGCTGCAGAAGTCTCCCTTATCCACAGTTACTGCTCTGCAGTGTTTAAGTAACTGCTTTTGTAGCCAGATTATGAAAATAATACCTGGCAGCCTTTCGGGCTTTATTTACACTGCAGCCTGAAGTTCACATGCTGCAGGCTGGTAGTAGAGCATGATGAATCATCGGTGCATGGTGACTACCCCCAACCAGGCAGAACTGCTATCTGCTCTGCATGGCTTTTTTCCCCATCTTATCTCGTGCATAATCCCAGATATGTGCTGGGTGCTATAAAGTCCTGTCATATTAATAAGGGTTAATTGGTGCATTTTCTTTGAACCTCAACAGAGAAAGCAGTGAAGGTTAATGTGGTGCCAGCACTATTTTGGAGAAGGACAGAAGGAGCTGTTGCATCCCAAACCTACCAAAAACATTGCATCCTTTCTTCATGACATTAGGCTGCCTGTCAGCAAGGACCCTTCCATGCTTCCCTGCATTTCACTGAGGAGCAGGGAATGAATCCTAATTCCCAGGTCTGTTCCTCAGAAAGCAGACAACAGAGGAAAAGGCATTTGGAAATGGTTGTTCTTAGTTTCACTTTGCCTCTGAAGAGCCCAGCAATGTCCAAGCACGTACAATGCTATGCACAGAGCAATTACTTATGTCATGCGAAGACAGTCAGCTCAGCACGTTTTCCCTCCACTGCAAAGCAACTGTTTGCCAACACAGCAGCTTCTGGCTGTGTAATTACTGCAGGCACTATGAAGATTTAGCTCAGGTCCAATATCAGAGATGCTCAGCCCCGCGAAAGCTCACCTTCAGGGGGCCAGACCTCTTTCTTTAACTTCAGAGGTCTCTGATAATGCTGATTCCTCTGCCTCCTAAAAACGGTTTACAGAAATAGTGAATCCACAGGAAAGTAGAGGGGGGAACGCTGGGTAGCCAGTGAGGCTGGTACCAAAGGGATTCCCTGCGGTCTCTTAAAACCTAGACAGTGACACAGCTCAGCTCATGTTCACAGCAGCAAAAGCCTTCAACACCTGAGGCAGGGGCTGCAAGAAATATGGGGAAACTGTATTCACGGCACAAATTTCATCTTGGTTTCCTGCAGAGAAGAGAGCAAGGAGTCATTGTGTCCCCTTTGCTTTCTTCAGGGTTCTGCTCCAAGGAAGGACCTCCCGGGTCACAGCCTTTCGAACTCAGCCACGGTCACCAGGTACTGGTACAGACTCAAGGTAATGTTGTAGCCTGCAAGAAATTCTGAGAGCCAGCAGAAGTTGTTAACACTTAGGAAGATCTGCCAGAAGTGCTCAGGGAACAGCTAAAACCATGGCCAGCACCCATGACTGAGCAGCAATCATCTTCAGGACAAGGACGAGGATGAGGATCTACCCTCCACACAGCTGTACTGCATGGTATACTACTAGCACCCCAAAGCCCTCTCAGGTCTTTTGCAGAGGCAACGCACTGCTCTGATGCTGCAAGACTGTACCATTGCATAAGAAAAGCAGTCTGAGAACCAGGAGTGAGATAGTGAGTGTTTGCACTAACGCACTCTAGTGATGAAGGCTGCAGGGTTTTAAAATGGTAAGAGAAGAGAGATCACTGCACTAGTCCTTCCAGTCTGCTCTCCTTCAGGACCCAACCCATTGTAAAAGTGGTTTCCCTGAACTTCTGTAATCCAGCAGTTTGGGTCAGTGACACTGAGGGTGGGCCAGCACTGGACTACGCACCCCAGGGGCTAGCAGCCATATCCGTTGGCCTTGCACTTCCCAAACTATAGAGCTGTCCCTCTGCTGCAGAGCTGTGCAGAGAAGGGGGGAGTCGGGCCCCAGCCAAGTACTTTACAGCCACGCTTCCCTTCTCTCGCCCTATCCCCGCAACAGCTCTCCAGGGCCAGCCCTTCAGGACCGCTCCGCTCCCTCTGAGCGCATGATACATGCGACATGAAAGGAGACACCCAAATCTAGGTCCACATGTCCTTTACTCTCCAGTCTCTCCAGGAAGGGATTATTTCGGAGCTGTTATCTCACCTCCTGCTTTTCACGGGGCCAGTCCTTCCCCTTTGCTTTGTCTTGCAGAGCGCAGATCAATCTGCAGTCTCTGCACACTTTAGGGTGGATGCTTCTCTGGTTCCTTGTCAGAACCCCATCTGGCAAAGACATGCAGGGCTGTGAGGCTGTCCCACAGCTTTATGGCTGCTTTCCATGACAGCATACAAGAGAGTAAACTTAAAGAGCTAGGGTTAAAGTCTAAACTCATTATTTTTTTCCACCCTCATACAAATGACCGACTTGGTTACCTAACTTAGCCTGGAAAAAATACCCACCCTCCACTGGCCTACAGGCTCTGGGCACATGCTCTGGTTCTCACCTGAAAAACCAGCTCTGCTGGACAGATTCCACAATTAAAGACCCAAAACTGAGCTACAGCTTCAGGACTATGAGCTGATCCATCAGCCTGGAAAAGGCTCCTTAATGGTGTATAGTGTGAACCCATTAGCACAAACATTTCTTGTGCTATGGCTGGGATGGGAGGATGACCAGGAGGTCTGTGCACCCAGGACAGCTTTGCACATAGTGCAGATCTCTTCTTTGCACGTATTTGTCTTGCTCATAAAAGCACTGCTGCATCAGCTGATGAGCAGTGTGTGCAAGGGGTCCCTTCTCCCTAAGGTTGGGTTAATTCAGACCAACGTCAAGGACTGCAGAAAGACAAGAAGCCTTCAGCATAAATGTTTTTGTCAGATAAATTATAAATAAATCTGATGTATATCAGATACATCAATTGCTGCTGAATGTCCAGTCTGCCTTCATTCCTGTGAGGTAGTCACACAGAACCTGTGGGTAGAAGGAAGGGGGCTGCATTCACATGTGTGAAAAATGCACCAAAAAACCCCCCCGTTTCGAGGGCAGAACTGAAAAAGCAGTGACGTCTGGCCACAGTCTTTGGCCAAAATCACATCATGAAGAGTTTGGTTTCCCAGACACATCAGCTTAACCTTTCATCCTGTAAAAATGAACTGGGGTCTCTGCATACTCCAAGCATTGCATTCACTCTCATAAAAATACTCATTAGAGAAATTCAACAAATCCATCACAGCTCAACCCAGCAGATAAAAGCCCAGGGAGATAAAAGCAGCAGCAAACTACCAAGTAAGAGACTCTGAGGAAGAAAGGGGAGAGAAGTGAGCTAAATAAATGACATACTGAACAAATGCCTTTAGAGTAGTCTTATTTAACCTGCCATCTGCAAGGCATCGGAGGGTGACATACAGAACAGCCCTATGTCACTATCCCTGCCCCTAATTACCCAAGATAGAGACACCAGTCCATGGATCCCAGGGATTTTGATTTTATTTCATTATTAAAAAACACAATTCCAGTTAGACGAGGGAAATGTTACTGTTCAGTAAAAAATACACCTCATATGATCTCCTGCTTCCCTCTTTACCAAGTACTAGTGAGAGCAGGATACAGGAAAGTTTTGGGGAAAAAAAGGAGGACTGGCATATCTGTTACAAAAATAGACTAAGAAAGTATGTAGGATGTCTCAACTGCTAAACAGGCACCTAAGCTGTTCACCTCCATTCATGGTGCCATTTCTCTGCTGGACTACATGGCAACAGGGCTCTCAACTCCCTGCTCTGCTCCTGACTCCCTGTGCAACCCCTGGCAAATCACTTCATCTTCCCGCTTTCCACCCTCTGCAGCTCACAGTTGCCCCTCATGAAAGCTGCATACACCCCAACTTCTCAGCCACACCATTTTCTACAATGCAAGGCTTGCACAGCTGGGGACACCCTGTGCTAAACCCACACTTCCAACGAGGTGAAATGCAGCAATCAACTCTTTAACTGAGTTTTGCTGGACAATCCCATGTGTTCTGTTCCTCTTTCAACCCAAATCACAAATCTCAGTGAGAACGCAGGAAACATTGCTGGATTAACACAGACTGTCAGCATGGGCCAGGAGAAATGCATTAATTTCCCAAGGCCCTGTATACCAGGAACCACTGCTTAAAACCCAAAACCAGGTAGGCAGCACTCAGCAAAAATAACTGATGGCATTTCCTGCAACTTGGTTGCCAATAATTTAAAACAGGCAAGAGCAAGGTGCATTTCCTTTTCTTCTTGTGGTATTTTGGAAAAGAACGGGGAAGGGAGCAGTTTAAAGAATTTTTAGAAAAAATTTTCCACACAGAGAACTCCCCTTTTGCCTTCCGTTTCCCAAGTAGTCTCCTGCAACATCCATCCTGAGACCCAAGCGACCCAAGAGCCAACCATATAGGTTGTGCCCACCTCACCCAGGCTCCAGAAAGGCCCTGCCCAGGCCTCCTTTCCCAATGGTAAGGGTGAGATATCAACCAACCTCCATTTGCAAACGCAATACCCAGATGAAATCACTGGGACCACATCAGGGCCATGGTTCAGTCCCAGGCACTGCCATGCCAACCAGCTCATTGAAATTTCTGCCTTTTGGAAGATAGCAAGGGAATGAAACCTGCCCCTGGACACACTAGCTCCTGGGGCCTTAGAAAGGAGATAAATGCTAAGAAAGACATTTCAAGTGAAGAAAGAAAACAGAGGCAGGAATCCTAACCCCTTCTCTGAGTTGGACTTGAGGTGTCAAACAGCTACAGCTGGCCAGACCACCTTCCCCAGTAGCAAAGAAAGAAAAGTCATTCAGGTCACCATCAATAGGGCCTTCCCCTCCCAGCAAACAAAGTTAGATATATCATTTCAGGTTGAGCTGAAATGTCTTATCTGACCTAAAATGAAATGTTTCATTTTCCTCTTTCTTTCAGAAATGTTTGTTTCATATATAAATGTGAAACAATGATTCTTCAACAAGAAAAGAAATGTTCGATTTTTAAAAAGAAGGTCAAAACTAAGCACTGACATCTCCAATCTCATTCTGAAACTGTGTGAACCATTTCAGAGAAAATGATGGCCCTCCCTACCATCATTCCCAGGGCTAAACCTATTCCCAAATCCCATCAGAATGCAGAACTAAGCTTAGCTCAGCTGCATTTTTCAGCAAATTGTTTTTAAAACCCTGCTTGACTTTCCAAAGGATGTTGCTTTTCAGAGACATCAGGCACCCATAACTGACTGAAGAGAATTAAAGCTGGATGTGCAGAACCTAAAAATGAAGGTGATCCCTTCCAGATGGGACACGGGTACAAAATGGATCATAGCAGCAGTCTAGGAGGTAGATGTCCTATGATCACAGCACCTCCCAATAAGCTTTGCCAATCCCTCCACACAACCACATCCCGGACACATGGCACTTTCCTTCCCAAAGCCCTGAGAGGCTTTCAGGTCACTTCCGCAGCTAAAATACATTTCTGGCCTAAAGATGCAACACTGATGCATTAACACACAAGGGTCTGGCATCACAACTCATCACCTTGTCTTTGGAGGCTACAACCCTCCATCCCATGGCAAATGTTGCTCAGGGTTGGATGTGAGTAGCACAAGGGGGACTGAGTCCCTGAAGCTTTTCCAAGCACTGTGGAGCCAGCAATATCTCCCTGTCTCAGCAGGGCCAACCCTTGCAACGCCAGCCCAGACACTTACCCATGAAGTAGCTCTTCACCTTCAGGTATCCCACAGCCAGTCGGAGGATGGAGAGTTTATCGAGCCTGGTGCGTACATCTTCAGGCAAGGGCAGCAAGTCAGTCAGCCTGTTCAGCTCCTGGTTGAGCCGGTCTCGATGCCGTTTGGAGGGATTAGACTTCATACCCTCAAGGGGGGGTGCTTTAGGGCTGGAAAAGGCCAAGGAGAGTGTAATCAAACGGGCTTGTCCAATGGGCCATTTCCAAACCCAGCACGGCCCTTACCACAGTAGCAATGACACTAAAACATCAGGCAGCCAAAGTAACACTACGCAGCAGCAAGGGCAAGCTCCAGAAAGTCTGCCAAACGATGGCTGAGGGAGATGTAGCCACCCAAATAGCCACCTTGTGCAGCCCCAGGCACAATGTCCTCCAACCGGAGCAAGGGGTGACCCTCAGATGGGTAACTTAACGTGCAGCCTGCTTGAGACAGCTCAGCTGGACACGACAGCCTCACTCCCATTTCTGCTCCCACTGCTGAGTCTTGGCAGGGAAAGGGATACTGAGGGCAGAGACCTACAAGCCATTAGAGTACCTCCTGGAGGTCTGGTTAGACTTCCTCCACCCATGCCCTGCTCTGCCTGCCTTTACTCCTCTTTCTCTCAGCCTATACTCTGCCTAGTCAGCTGGTCCCTCCCTGGCCAAACTCCACATGCTCACATCAGGTCCTCACAATGGTAAGCGTTAACCTGAACTTTTCACAGGATTCACATTAGCCACTGCATTTGCCCAGGGTCTGACCGACCTTTTCCAGGCCTTGGCAATAAGCATGCTGGCAAATAGCAGCAATGGAGAGAGGGAAGGTTCAGAAAGATTTTTATCTGAATTTCTTTCAATTAGTTTCCTCTAAGTCTCCTCCCTGCAACCACATTTATTATCATAGGTAGAAGGAAGCTCCATACCTGGAGCTTAGCAACCAGGCAATAAAAATTAACCCTCTTTTCCTTATTCAGAAATCAATGTCTGACTGCTCAGAGCCTGACTCCGTTGCTTTATTCATTAACTAATGCTACAACGAGGAATATATGTGAAAGTCAATGGCAGCACTTGGAAAAAGAGATACTACAGGCACAGCACTTAGAAAATAACCTATTTTTTATTGTAGAATTTTATCATTTTCTTCCAACTTTCTGATTTCTGACCCTTTCATATGGGCATTTCCAACCTAAAACAACATTTGATGCCAAACTTGGGCTCTGGGACCAACCCTCAATCTGCAGAATTAGTTCATGAGAACAGCTCTTTTCTGTTTTAAGCTGAGATAGGGACCTGTGTCCATCAGCTGCTGTTATTTCACACAGTAGAACTGAAGTCCCAGTCATAAATGACTTTAATGAATCTGGGATTTGACCTTGTTGTCTTGGTTTTTTATGCTGACATGAATTTCCCTGCTTAAAGAAAAATCCTTTAGACTTCATGAGAGACTACTCCTCTGTATTTGGTTAGATTGTGTTCCATAACATGCAATACTGCTTTGATGTAATTTATCTAACCACAAATTTTCTCTCTGCAGGCACCCCTGCTTCATAAGGCAGCTTCAGATAACAGGATCTGACAGTCTTTAGAAAGCTCTCCCCTCTAAAAGTACTCTCAAATCTCATCTGGTAGGATTGTTTGCATGTGTAGCAAGAGAAAAAATGAGTATTAAATGAAATACAGTGACGTGTCTGTTGAATTTTCATTCCAGAGATGTACCAAGGGGACTTTTAATCATGGATGGATAATTATACCATTTCTTCTGAAAAATTCAGTCGTGCTGTTTTGCAACATGATTGTTGGGAGGGATATACCCTGCTTCTCAGAGAGGCTAAGTACAAGTCATCACTGAATGCACAAGTCAGGGAAAAAATCAGTGTTTTTATGCGCTCCATTAGCCAGCAGCTTAACGAACCCTTTTGAAATCACAATCACTCATCAGGAAGGAAAAAAGTGAAATAGCTATGGAACCTCACCATCAGAAACGGAGATGAGGTCAAGAAAAAGAGAAGAAAAAAGAAAATTTTTGACTTCCCAGATGCACTTTCAAGAACAGTCCTCTGCTCACTCACTATCCAAATACAGTGTACAAACATCCAGAAAGATAAGGGAAAGGAAACCAGAGACAGGCAAGAAGCACTGCTCTTTATGATGAGGGTACAAATTGCCATCTTGCCTCTGGACAAGACACCCTAGCAGCCCAGCATGGGGGCTCCTCTACCTGTTGGCTAGAGGCTGGTACCAAGACCACCGGGTTCCTCATCTCTGTGGGAGGAAGGCACCTGTTGAGTTCAAATCCACACCACTTTCCCCTTTCCTTCAGACACTGCTTTTTAGCTATTGCATAGCTCCTTAGAAAGGGAAAAACAGACGGATGATGCCTCTTGGAAGGGATGGTCAGGAAATAAAAGAAATAAGAAATGAAAAGTATGGGAACTTCTTCTGTGTATTAAAAAGCTATCAGAGATCTGCACGCCACAGGGAGGAGTAAACACAGAGTAAGGTGGCACACAGGGTGAGCAGAGCAGAGGCATAACAAGGTCTCTTGGATCATCTGGCCAAACTCTGAAAATGCTCTGGCTGAGACATATGGTGTAACACAGCCAGCAGTGAAGCTCAGGAGAGGAAAAGCAGAAGGGGCTAGAGGACACCACAACAGCTCTGTCCCCCATGTGCACCCAACCACAGCACATAACATCCTTCATGAAGGGAGGGATGATGCAGAGGAGAAATCTCAAGGCACTGCTGAGGCTGCACTGCTCCTTCAGCAGCCCACTTATGCAGGGAAGCACTGCACCCAAGGCAACCCCCTGAAGGCAGTGGCTTTGCAGAGCATTCTGCCCTCACGCACAAAGAATGCCCCTAATCTCTGCAGGGAGGGTAGCTCTGTCCCATTTGACGGCCTGCCCAGAACTTCCATGCAAAGGGAAACACTGGAAACACATTCCTCACAGAAGCAACGTGGAGCAGCCATCACAAGGCACTGTTCAGCGCACTGCTTCCCAGTGCTGCATTTGGCCCAACCCACTGTCATGCATATCTCATTGCCTAAATTCCTCCCGCTGGCCCAAACTTGGCCATGCAGATGCACAGTGGCATTTAGCGCTGAGTGAATGGCCTTGGATGGAGACGTACAAACCTGCTCAAGCTCATTCCTCTCTGATGCATCGCCCAGGCGCCCCTTTGGCAGTCATCACTCCTTTCAGTGATGACAGCCCACCTCTCATCCCAGCTGAAGCATGTTTCCAGGAGACCATACTCCTTCAGTCTGCTTCAATCTATAACTAAGCTGGACGGGGGCATCAAATGCGGCTGCTTCTTATGTAACAGCATGTGAAACCCCTCAGAGTCAGGGCTAATGGCCTGCAGCAAGAATAGGACATGAGGACTGCAATCAGGCCCTTTGTGTGACAGTCACATGTAGAGCTCTCCATCTGAAAGACATCTGTACTTTTCCCTAATAACTGCCTAAGATGGGCTGACACAACTTCAAACATCCTTTTCTAAACCACAGCCCTTTTCAGCCTGAAGGACTGAAATTCAGTCCTAGCTACTGTCACAAAATCTTGGCCAGAAGTGGGGTTATAAGCTATGCAGCAACGCTCTGTGGCTTATGGAGGAGCACCCACACTGTAGCAAGACTGTCAGTGAGACAGGTATAGCTGATCTCTCCTATCCAGCAGAATGCTAAGTGAAAATCAAAAAGCAAGTATTGCCTTTCAAACTATACTGTATCCTGTAGCACCTTTGCCAGCCCGTCACTCTTGCTATTTTCCTGCAGATTCAGAAGGAAACCATGCAATTATCAACATAAATACCTTTGTTCCCAGCAGGAAATCCAGTAAGTCCTACCCATCCCAGCAAAACTATATAGCCCTCCTCTCCTCCTTAAAGGTGGCTAAACAGAGTTCCAACCAGAGACTCAAGTCCTATAGATTTCACTTCTCCAGGGCAAACACAACTCATCTATTCCCCTAACCTTGCTTTCAAAGGAAACAGGCCAATGTAATAGCATCACCTGATGCCACTGCTAAACAGCTTATGCTGGCCCATCTCTAATAGATTTCTTTGCATTCTGCTGGGAGCGTATGAAATTCCTACGAGCTCTGCACAAGCCAGCAGTCAGGTCCAGGAAAAACCCAGGAAAAACCGTGGCCCCCCATTACATGGATCTACTGAGGGAAAGGCATTGGCATGAGCATAATCATGTTATTAGCTACCAGAGAATCCATACAGGTGAGAGCTGCAGGAGACCACGTTTCCCCTGTTCTTGGGAAAAGCGATGTTTGATCTAGATGGGGCTTTGTGTCCTGCCAAATCTATTTAAATTCTCTGCCTTTAGGACCATCTCCATCCATACTGCCCAGCCACCTTTTCTTCGTGGACCAAGGCATCAGCAATCCCTGCCTTGCCCCAGGTGAGAATGTCCCAGGGAGCATCGTTCTCCGAGCATGACGTGCTGAATTCTGACAGCCAACGGGACACCCTGATGCCTGTGCAAGAAGCAAGGAAAAGGCATTTTAAAGAGGCTCAAGCAACTATCCTATTTGTAGCAGCTGTAACACGGCACAGCATTATTCAGTGGGTACAGTACAAAGCACAGCGCAACCATGCTGCAGAGTTCATGATGAAGCTACTGAGAGAGAGTCAATGACCCCTGTGTAAATCAGCAGGAGCAGAGTTGCAAGGAAAGCTCTGCTCTAAATGGGGCACAGGCTGTGACGCTTGCTGCAGCAGTTTGTCACCAGCTGCACTTTGAACAGACAACACAGAAGGAAGTTTACCACTTTTGCAAACTGGCAAATGTCCAGGGACATTAACTAAAAAAATCCCATCAGCTGGGGGTTGCCCGTGCTGAAATATTGCCTATTTTTTCCCCTTTTCTTAAAAAAATAAAAAAGTATCAAGCAAACTGCAAAGGGACCAAACAGCTCACTAACCTCATCTTCCCTTCCCGCCTAGCTGTCCACACATCTTGCCTCTCACATCCTTGTCTGTCTGGCCCTCTCAGCAGGGATGCTGCGCTTTAAGATCTGCCCAATTACAGAAGCAAGAAAATAATCTCCTCTGATTCCCAAGTATGGCTCCCTAGTACCAGTGATCCAGCTCCCTGTCCCCCCCTGCTCCAAAGCATGCCTTCCATGGTAAAATACACCTTATCCTGCACCCTAAGCCAAAGCAAGTCCAATCTAAATCCTTAGCTTGACCACATCAGCCTCATTACAGGGCAGGAATTGCCACTCCAAGGTGAGCAGGAGAAAGATTTGAGACAGAGCAACCCTTCCTATCTTTACATGTCTTTAAAACTCCCTAATAATCACACCAAAAAGGTTGTGGCTCACATTCTTGCCATGTACTTAGAAGGTGTGACACTCCTGTTTTTGTCCCAGGCTTAGGCTCAGCACTTCCCTCTCCCCCCCAGCTCCCAGAAATACATACCTAATAATCTGAGGTCAAGACACTGATATGATTTTGGAGCAGTTGGGGGAAGGGTTAGGGGTCCCATAGCCACGAACTCCAGCCAGGCATGGGGGGTCAGTATGTACTGACTACTGAGCAATATATTGATTAGTTACTGAACATTAGGGTTCTTTACTTAAATATTGATTGCTGTACATTTGATTTACACAAGTGCCCCCCAGCACTGTAATCTAAGCAAGCCTGCAACTCAAACCAGAGCATATCTGAGAATCTCAAACTCACAAACGAGCAATGCCTTCGGTTTGCAGAGGGGAGGAGGACACCGGCCCCAGGCGATTTTCCCACCCCAAAGCACCCCCCGGGGACAGGGCGGGGGCTCCTCAGACATCCCCCTCCCGCCTCTACCCCCCTCACCTCTTCGGCAC